ATCAGGTGCACACGGGGGCGCCGATTTCCCATTTACCCGGCCGACAGTCTAATTTCATAATTTCATCAGGATCCATATTTATTGACCATCCTCACAAACCCATGGTGACCCACTTCATCCCAATTCCACACAAACAGAGCACAATATATGCATAGCACAATTAATCAAACAAGTCATTCAACGTAAACCATCCATTTCATCCCAATGCACAGTTATATACAATGTATGAGAAAATACTTATAATATATGGTAAATATAATGTATTTTTAATATAGTTTTTATTAGGATTTTTAGTATTTTTAATTACTTTAATTAGTTTTTATTTAGTTTTATTTATATGCAAATGCAGTGTTGATATGCATTATTTATTATTACTCACAGTGGTAGAGAACAAAGCTCTAGCTTGATTCTGTCCGGGAGAAGCACTAGACGAACCCGAGCGATCTAAGCAAAGTAAGAATGACACAAAAAAAATAATTCTATCAGACGAAATATTTCTCTACCACTCTAAGAATTTTATTTTTATATTCTAACTTTTTCTACGTAGTTTAATCTCAATATTTAATTTTGTTTCTGTAATAAATTTTTAATTTTCTACCGAACTCTATTTTATTTATTTTCTTCTGAAATTTATTTTATTTTTCTACCAAAATTTCGACAGCATCTCCCTTAAAAATTGGACTATCTACCTGTTAGAATATCAATAATTTATCTGATAACTCCAAACCACACGGCCCATCCATCGAGCAATCAATCAATCAATTCAATTTTCTCATCCTCCATCCGAATATCAATATCAACATTACCTTAAATTCTCAATTCCTCATTTCATTCCATTCATGATATTATCATCAAAATTCCTCAATAAATTAATGAAAGGATTTTAATTAAATCAACATTTATATTATAAATCAATACTGAAAATTAAATTAACTTAATTTAACTACTCACAATTACTAAATTAAATTAACTAAATAAATTAACTACAATAATAATTAACCTAATTACTAAGTTTAAAATATTCTAGCTTTGATTCTGTCCTGGAGGAGCACTAGATGGACTCGGGCGATCCCAAGTATAATTCTTTTTGTTGAATTTCGCTAGATCGGAAATGTTTACGCGTGCTAGATCGGAGCTACGCGCATCGGGACTGCGAGCAAGTGGCGCGATCTACTGGACAGCAAGGATGGTGGTGCGACGTGGTGGCGCCGCGCTCGCTTGACCGGAAGTAGAAGGGGCTGTGGTGGCGCGATGAACTCGAGGAGCTGTGGCGCTGCGATCTGGCCGAGGATGAAGCGTTGCTGCAGGCGGAGCCGCTGGCTGTGGCGCGCGGAGGAGCGGCGAGGCGGTGCTGCGCGCGATGGAGGCGGTGCGACTGGCTGTGGCAGTCACAGCAGTCACAGCAAGAAAAAAGAAGAGAGGAAGAGAAAAGGAAAGAAAAGAAAGAAGAAGAAAGAAAGAAGAAGAAGAAAGAAAAGAAGAGGAAGAGGAGGGCGCTGCTGTGATGGTGAGGGTAGAGAGGTGCAGCGCTGGAAAAGAAAAAAAGGAAAGGGAATTTTCTAGATGGTTTGGGTCGAACCGGTTTTCGATTCGGTTCGAATTCGACCCAAATCTTTGATTTCGATTGGTTTTCGAACTTTTTCAATCGTTTTCGGTTCGGGTTTTCTCACAGTGTTTCGCTTAAAATATAAAAATAAATTTCCAAGCTGTCGTTATTTAAAATTTAATTGGAAAATCTTTTGACAAATAAAAATTTGAGTTGTTTTCCAGTTTCCCCCTAAAAAATTCGTCCTCGAATTTTGAAAAATAAACAAGAAACTAGGATAAACAATAATTGTTTACGACAATTGGTGGTTATGCTTCTCACATAAAGTTGCAAGTTCGTTAGTCAGAGTGGTGAATCTAATTTTTAATTAAGACAAACCAATGAACAGACCTGGGAAGAAAATCTAATTTATAGAGGATAAGATGATTATAAGATAAATCCATCCCTAAAGTTATCTACCTTATCACCATAGTTAATTTAAACGTGAATTGTCCTATGTCTACAAGTTGTCACCTCAAGTCAAATATTCATAACTCAAGACAGATTCGACACTAATATTCACCTTTACACGTAAGAATTTCAGTTCTTTATAACCTCTGCTCAAGTAAGGGTTATGAATCTCATTAGCTATATATTATGTGACCTACGTTGATGTATCGCCTCATTTATCTCCCACTAGCTATTATAGGCAATGATCATCACTCAATAAGACGCTCATGCATAAACCAAGTATTAAATCTTTTGATACAAGACTCCACATATTCAAATTTACTACTATCCCAATTAGAATCCTTATTTCAAAATTCAAAACCTACATGATGACTCATCCATTTTCCATCAATTCCAAATATTAATATCATTGCTCCAATAATCATGGAAAAAGTTTATAATTAGATAAGATGGTTGCTGCTAATTCAAGGACGTTTTCGATTATTATCAAATGCTTCCATTAAGTACTATTTGATCATTTCCAATTAAAGAGAACAAATTCTTGCCACTACTACAAGCTTATATTTTCCAACAAAAGATATTAATTTAAATTCTCAATTCCTAACTAATGAGAATTTCTCAATAAAAACAAATAATAGCATTCGACTTATATAGAGAAAATTTCAATTCACGCAATCAAGTCTCTATTTTAGTTATTAACCCTCTCTATCCTTCTTCCCGAATTATCATATCAATACACTTTCCCCTTAACTAAATTAATGACAAACAACTTATGCAACTACGCCAAATTAAGTTGTTTGCCATGCCGAATAAAATTCTTAATTTTTATTTTCTAAAATCTCGCAAACCAGTTCTATATATCTCAACTTCCATCATGAAATCCAGTCTAAACATTTTTTTACAAGCTTAATCAAGATAGTAAAATTCTCCAACCGTAATTTATATCCAATTTTTGCCTAGGTCTACGTATCCAGAAATCTAAACAATTAGTATTGCCTTTGCTCTAGCTAAGTATGAGATTAAGGAATTAAACCTATAATCTAATTCCTTTGATTAAACACTATGTCATTGTTTTATATTTAATTCTTAATCCATGAATTCTTAAAGAAATATTCCAGATAATAATATCATGGGTTATTCCTTTTTCTCAAAGTCCTAATGCATAATGTCTATCACCTCCAAAATTGTAAACCTTTATACCTAATACGAATCTTTAGAAGATTTTCAACCTTAATTATGTTCTCTCTATATTCTTTACTTCCAAACAGGGGTTAATAGCTTCATTGAATCCTCAAAATCTGAGTTTCAATTTTTACCGATTCCCTCAATATGCACCTAACTAATAAATATTTCCTTAAACCATTAGATTATGTCGCACTACCAATTTATCATTTATAACACAATTTTATTCATTCAATCATAATTGCTACCAATTGCTAAGGAATTCAGAGTAGGTTTACATTGACTCTACATTATGTATCAATAATTTTCGCTCTAATTGGTACCTCAATAGTCCCATGAGTAATTTGAATTGATTAGTGATCTGATCGACACACATGAGTTGGCACTCCAATATAATCAAGATGTAGTCTTAAACCATCCTGTTATCACATCCAATAATCCTCTAGTTTATATTTTTAGTCTTTAAGTACTAGCATGTATTTTCCAAACTCACCTATTTATTCTTATACCAAATTTCACTGTTCCAACCAATAGTAATTAAAACTCAGCTAGTTTGTTACCAAATGCAAATATTCCAACTACCTTTATGTTCTACTAGGGTCATAATTATAATTTTTCTTCTCCATTCAATAAAATAACTTACAAATATGCACTAAGTAATAGAAAGTCCTTATGTATGCACTTTCCACCAACAAGTTACATTTATTCACATTCATTGTCATCTCAAGCTAAGCCCTATGATCTTTTATCAACTCTTATTCCCAATCATTACTATTTTCCAACTGATGCTATCAAATTACATAAGTCAAAATTTTCTTATCTCTCTCTCCAGTAGAAAGTCTATCTTTCTTTCTGAATATAAGTGCTAAGTTCTTTCATCATCGGGATTACAATCCTTAAATCATTTATCTATTTCTATATCACAAGACATTCAATAACTTCCTACCTTTGATCTCTTTTTAGAATATAAATTTACTATATATGGACCACAAAATTCTCGAAACTCACCTCGCAAGGACCTGATTAACTCAACTCAAAAGTTTGGTTATAACATTATCAATTATTTGTTTAATATTCTATTAGAATTATCACCGACAGTGATAATTATTTTAAACAATTATTTTATTTTAATATCCTATCAGAATTATCATCAAACAGAGTTGATAATTATTTTAAACCTCAAATTTTCCTACCTTCAATAGTATACATGTTCCATCATTCTATCTTTAATAATATTTCGCTCCTTTTTTGTTTAACTACATAGTCTTAACTACTTATTCTAACGCATCTTTTAACTTTCTAAATTTTCATAAATCTTAAATTTATTTACAGCATAAAATTACTATTCATGATCATTTTAATTCTTAATATCCACCTTATCTCTATTTTCTATCAGATATAACAAGAAACTTTACAATTATACAATATTATTCTCTTTCAAATTATATTCTAATTATCATTTTTCTAATATAATCATCACCCAATATTATAGCGTTCCAATCCCAAAACCACTAATTTGCTTTATTATCCTTTACTTCCATTTTATTATACTAGCTCCGTAAACTTAGTTTGGTTTATTAAATATCCTACATGTACTAGGATCACTACATACTGTCTAATACACTCACTACATACTCAATTTTTCACCGTATTACTTCCTACACCACCTTCGTAATTCTATAAACGATTCAACACAATACTCAACTTATCATTCATATATATATTACTAGGGTCTTACTTATGTCCCGTCTAATACACTCATGAATTCCCAAAATATAGAAGTCTTTATCTTAAAGCTGCTGAGGTATCACTATTTCTATTTTTATCAAATCTTATTACCCATAATCCCTAATTTATTAAACCTCTAATTACTGACTATCCTCATTTAAATCATATTAATTTATACCCTTCACGTTTCTGTAATTGATTAAACCTCTAAATACTGACTATCCTCATTTAAATCATATTAATTTATACTCTTCACGTTTCTGTAATTGATTCTTCTCTTAATATCTATACAATAACAGGACTAGATCCAACCTTACTTATCTAATTTAGTATAACATCAATTCAATAATTGGACAATTACTCTCCATGTCCGATGTCATTCATCAATACATTTAATCATCATAGTCCACTATTTACATAATTCTCTTATAGAGTCGTTCCTCGGATCATAGAATCTCCCGTTAAACAAAAATCATTGTTTGTAATTTATATATCATCGAGTGAGCAACAACTATGTTAAACATCAAAAGACTAAATACCATTAGCTTTAATTCTTATTTATACCATATTAAATCATAAAATGCCACAAGCCACAGAATATCCACCACTAAGTACATCATGATTAGAGTAGTTTATCTTTTACTAAGAATCACAATTTACTTTTCTTATAACCACAATAACACTATTTACATAATTCCCTACATTCATACACTTGAAACGAAATAGCTGAAGAATGCTACAATACACTTTGTCCCACCAAGCAGTAATTACTCATAAATAAAACTCTCTCTTCATATAATAATTCCACCAATATTGTTTCTTATGAAATATACTCATCACCATTTATTATAGCAAATCACACCAAATCCTTCAATATTTAAACCTTATAAAAATCATTTATATACTTACACCAATTAATATATCTATTCCATCCAGAATTCCACTAACCAACATCATGTAAATTTCATCAAATTCATATACTCATTCAATACTCTAATTAAATAGAATTAAATAAATTCTAATGTCCTCGAATCCAAATCATTTAGTTCTCTTGTTAAATAATTAGCAACTCATTCTCAATTCCGCAGGCACACCTATACACACATTCATGTATTCTTAAATATGTATTCCACATTCAACACATATTAAATAAAAATAGGATACTTTCACCATTTAACTTCAACTTATTAATCATATATAACTTGTCTTATTACATACTTTATATGAATATTATTTATTCCATAGAAGGATTTTTGTTTAATCCATCCCTTTAGCATCAGTACTAAATCACATCTCTAAAGAACAAGGATATAAATTTTTAATCATTAGACAACTTGACTTGAACCTAGCTGCGAATAACGCTGAAGGGGAAAGCAAGGAAGACTATGTTAAGACATAACAGGAATTACTCCGCAGTTACCTCCGCAGTTACATCTAGACTTATGAACTTTTGCTCTGATACACCATTGTCACGACCTGTTTTCTGTGGACGCGACCGGCCTAGGGCCCTAGGTTAAGAGACTTAAGGCCCCCAAGGCCCGTAGAAGCCTAAATTATTCAATCTGTCTACAGATTCTCCTAATTTCAACAAAAAGTAAGCCCATAGCCCATATGACTTAAGATATAAGTTTTATAAAATTTTCAAACATCTGACCCAATATCAAATAATACATAAAATTTAACCAGGGCCTATTCACAATAACAAATAATCACAATAAGGGCTTACTAGTTTACCTACAGTTAATTACACAATAATTAATTTATAGCGTAGTGCTAACAATAAACCCCAATTTAAATACACAACCCTATAATTGCGGAGTCCAAAAAAATCTGATAACAGAATAATTTATACATTCAAAATTAAATATCAAGAATATAAAGTTTACATTTGTAACTCTGCGGAGAAGACTCGCGGAGAAGATTGGCAGACTTCAATCGAATGCAGCTGCTTCCTAGTACCTGGGGAAGTTTTGGAGAAAGGGGGTGAGTTTTGCAACTCAGTGAATAATAATAAAATAATACACACCAACATACCAGGCAAGCAAAAATGCACCCTAGTATACAGAATGAAGCACACAACAGTCACTCATATGTCATCATATCAGCACCACAACAATATCACCTTCAAAATAATCACATCAACGTGAAATTAAGTCCAGTGGGCGTCACCTAAATCCCCACGCGCCGTTCCTCTCAACAGCCATCCTCTCAAACATGTGCACCCGGGGAGCCAATCCCCATATCTGGCCGACCGGTCTAATCCTCACTTGACCAGTCCTCTCATACTTTTTATTTTTACATTCTCCTCTTTTCTTTCCATAATCATCAACAATTTCATTTCATCAGTTCATCAGGTGCACCACGGGGAGCGCGATCTCTGCCATTTACCCGCCGACGGTCCACTTTTCATCAGTCATCGCTCAGGATCCTTAATTTATTCGAACCGTCACCCTCACAAACCCATGGTGACCCACTTCATCCCAACTCCACACAAAGAGCACAGTATATAACCAGCAAACAAATAATCAAACAATTCATTTATCATAAATACACCAATTTCAATCCAATGCACAATTATGCACAAGTTATAATTATAGTGATCATAACATAAAATATAATATGAGAAAATACAATATGTAGAATAATAAAAAATGTAATGTTATCCAAATGCAGTGTTGATATGCAATTATTATTAATTACTGTACTCATGTGGGTGGAGAACGAAAAGCAAAGTAAGAACGACACAAAAGAAAATAATTCTATCAGACAATATTTCTTTACTACTCTAAGAATTTTATTTTATATTCTACATAAAATATTTATTCATCACACTACTATTCTTAACCTATTTAATTTCTATCAATAATTTACTCTCTATAATTAATTAAATTTCTATAATAAATTTTATTTGCTACCGCAATTCATTTTATTTTCTACCGAAATTTCGACAACATCTCCCCTAAAAATTGGACTTTCCACCTGTTTAAAATATCAATAATTTTATCTAATAACTCCAAATCCGGCCCATCCATCGGTCAATCAATCAATTAAATTTTCCATCCTCCATCAATTTAATTTTTTCCCGTCCTCCACATTTATCCACATCAACTATATTAATTTTTCTTTAATTCCATAAATCATTAATTTTTCTTTAATTCCATAAATCATAATTTCCCAACAATTTTCCCAACAATTTTATTTATTAACCACCAGAATTTAATTTTAATTAATCAAATATATTTTTATTAATCGACTCATCAACACTAAATTAAATTAATTCAACTAATCAAATTTGCTAAATTAAATTACCTAATCAAGATTACTAAAATTAATTTAATTAACTAAAATTACTAAGTTAAATTATACCCAAATTACTAAAATAAATTCTGAGAATTAGTAAGAATTGCTCTATACCCCAAGTATAATTTTTGTTGAATTTTGCTAGATCGGAAAGGCTTACGCGTGCTAGATCGGAGCTACGCGCATCGAGACTGCGAGCAAGTGGCGCGATCTACTGGACAGCAAGGATGGTGGCGCGATGAACTCGAGGAGCTGTGGCGCTGCGATTTGGCTGAGGATGAAGCGCTGCTGCAGGTGGGCTGCCTACAGTGGAGCTGCTGGCTGTGGCGCGCGAGGAGCGGCGAGGCGGTCTGTTGCGCGATGGAGGCGGTGCGACTGGCTGTGGTATCGCGCACTTCTGCTGTTGCCTGGCTGAGGTCGACGCAGGCGCAGTCACAGCAAGAAAAAGAAAGAGAGGAAGAAGAAAAGGGAAAGAAAGAAAGGAAAGAAAGAAAGAAAGAAAGAAGAAAGAAGAAGAAAGAAGGGAAGGAGGAGGCCGCTGCTGTGATGGTGAGGAGTAAGAGAAGGTGCAGCGCTGGACAGAAAAAAGAAAGGGAATTTCTAGATGGTTTTGGGTCGAACCGGTTTGATTCGGTTCGTTCGACCGCAAATGCTTTTGATTTTCGATTGGTTTTTTCGACTTTTTCAATCGGTTTCTCACAGTGTTCGCATTAAAATATTAATATGAATTTCCAGGCTGTCGGTTCATTAAATTTAATTGGAAAATGTTTTGAAAATAAAAATTTAGGTTGTTTCAGTCTTCCCCCTTAAAAAAAAAAATTCGTCCTCGAATTTTTGAAACAAGCAAGATAAGATCATAGTATATATGAGGAACAAAAAGATCGTACTCAACCAAAGAGAAACCATTTACAGTCGATCACTATTAGTACAAAACGTTTTACATGGAAGGAAAAAGATGAGGATAATTTCTTTGCATTTCAGCTGCCACTTCCCATGTGCATTCCTCCATTGAATGATTTCTCCATAAAACTTTAACCATAGGAATATCTTTAGATCAAAGTTTACGAATCTGGAAATCATGAATGCTGATTGGTATTTCTTCATATGTCAAATCTTCACCCACCTGAATCTCCTGCGGCTCTAACACATGAGATGGATCAGGAACGTACTTCCGTAGCATTCACTTACTCACACACTCACTCGCTCAAGTAAGGGTTATTGATCTTCATTAGCTCTATACAATGTGTCCTTACATTGATGTATCGTCAATTTATTCTCTCAACTAGCTATCATAAGGCAATGACATCATCATAAGAAACTCATACACCAACATTATGTAATCTTACTGAATAAGAATCCACATATATCAATCAAATTTATTAACTATTCCAATTTAGAATCCTTATTATTATTATCAATTCTACCATTAATACCATTCAACCTTTCCAATTAAAGAGAAAAATTCATGGTATTACTACAAAGCTTAATTTCAAAAAAAATCATGACATTTTCTCTAGCTTAAGTCGCTAATTCAACTGATAGGAATATACTGAAACTTCTATCCCCAATCTCATCACATACTTTATCAACTTAAACCTATTTTCCAACAAAAAAAGATATATAATTTATTCCAATTCCTACTAATGAGAATTCTCATAAAAACAAATATATACAATCGACTATATAGAGAAAATTCAAATTCACAATCAAAGTCTCCTATTTTAGTTATTAACCCTCTCTATCCTTCTTCCGAATTATCATATCATTACCTTTCTTAAACTAATTAGACAACAACTTATGCAACTAGCCAAATTAGTTGTTGCCATGCCCGAATAATTCTAATTTATTTTCTAAAATTCGCAAACACAAGTTCTATTATACTCCATTCCAATCATGAAATCCAGTTCTTTAAATTTTTTTTTAAAGCTTAATCAAGATGTAAAATTCTCCCAAAACCGTAATTTATTCCAATTTGCATAGGTCTGACGTATCCCGAAAATCCTAAAACAAAGTATTGCCTTTTTGCTCTAGTCTAAGTATTGAGATAAGGATATTAAAACCTTAATCTAATTCCTGATTACACATGTCCATGGTTGGTTTTAATATTTATTTCTTAATCCCATGAATTTCTAAGAATATTCAATAATAATATCATAGGGTTATTTCTCCAAGTCTATCATAATGTCTATCACCTCCAGAATTTGTAAAATTTATATTTAATACGATCTAGGAATATCCTCAACCTTAATTATGTTCTCTCTATATTCTTTACTCCAAACAAGGTTAATACCTCATTGAGTCCTTCAACATCAGAGTTACAATGTACCAGTCCTCGAATTAACCTAACTAATTAAGTATTCCTTTAAACCACAAG